GAAAACATCACACGTCATACAACCGTTCTTGACACAGACACTAGATTCTATTTTTTATATTGTTCCATATAACGACAGGCACACAGAACTTAAATCCACAGGCAGTAATAATTCAACACGTACACAGTGACATTTGCACACGATTCTGCCTGTGCCTCCTGTTGGTGCTCTTACCTGGAAAAAGCAATTTACAGAAGCGTCTTCTGAAAATATTCACCACATCTCATTCTTCATCTTTCAAACTAACACACATCCCCCCCCACACACACACAAGGATCTAATAGCAACACAGGAAGATATTCTATGGACTTAATGTCCCTGTGTTAAGGATTCTGATATGTTCTTAATGGCAAAGCACAATTAGATCTTATGCCATTAGCTAACAAAGAAAAAGAAAACATTCTTAACAATTGCACTCCTATTACAATTTCCATCCCTTTACAAGGTGAAATTTTAAAAATGCTATTAAAATAAAATCATCAAGAGATGAGGCACTTCTAAAATTAGAAGACACTCTTATAAAAGCAAACATTCTGAAGCTGAAGTGAATTTTAATACTTTAATTCTATTTTCCAAATGTGCCAGAGTCTCTCTTAACTGACAAATTCCAGAGGCTTTCCTTATGTCTCCATCTCACTGTGACCTTGAAGAGGGCACTACCCACTAAAGGAAAAGCCCTTTTCTGTACCCACCAGGTGGTATTGCTTTCAGGATAAAACAAACATTATGAGCTGCTCTTCACTCTCATTTGAACAAAACCCTCTTTATGAATTAAGTTTTCATAATAGTGGAAGCACAAAACGGTAATATTTTTGAATTGTTATGTATAGAGCTTAATATTTTTTCCTAATTTCAGAGAATTTGAAAATCAGTATTGATATTTTAAGTGAGGAATGATTAATATTTTATACACACATACTGTAATAAAACTTAATGTAAGAATATTTTAATGAAATTTACCTGTCATAAAGCCCTAAAATGAAATAGTCCATCATTTACTATTCCTTGTAAAATAAAATGCACTGTCAGTTGTACTATTCAACACTCAAAGTATACCTGTATTAGGGTTCTTTTAAAACTAGTATCTTTCTTATTTTTTATTTCAAAATATTAAGGGGGTACAATGTTTTAGGTTATATGAATCATCTTGATAATGCCTGAGTCCAGGATATAGATATATCTGTCCCCAAAGTTTTCATATTTCCTGATTAGGTTGGTTTATTCCTCTCCCCTCCAATGCCCTCCCCCTAATTCATTTCCACAGAGTTTTATTCCCTCTCTGCAGACATGTGCTCTTCACTTAGTTCATATTTAATAGTGAGTACAGGCGGTGTTTGTTTTTCCATTCTGTAGACACTTCACTTAGGAGAATAGTATTCGGTCCCCTCCAGATTGTTGTCAAAGGCACTATTTCATCTTTTTTATGGATGAATAGTACTCAACGGCATACAACACTAATATTTTCAATTTTGCCACAAACTGCCATGTTGTTTGGAAATAGGAACATGTAAGAACACGGTGTACTCTGCATATGTCACTTATATTACTAGCACAAAGCATATGTCACTTATATTACTAGCACAAATAAGAACAAAACCTCTCTTTAAAAATGAAAAAGTAATTTCAAAATACTTTTCTCTTGTTTCCTTCTGAGCATACCAAAATACAGGGTGTCCAAAAAAGCACCCCCAGAGTTTCATAAAATATTTACAAAATATTCTCTAAGTGTTGGCCACCTCTGTATAAAATTTTATAATGAATACTTTATAAGTATTCATAAGCTACCTTGAGTTACATATAAGTAAAGGTACATATAGCTACCATTTCCCATTCTCCCTAGGCATGGAGACTTTGAGGATGATTTTTGGAGGTCCTATAGTTACAGCTGAAGTGTACTTAAGGAAACTGCCCTCTGGAACAAGACCATCTGGGTTCAAGGCCTGGTGCCATCACCATGCTCATGGACAAGTTGCTAACCTTGCCTGCCTCAGTTTCCTTATTTGAAAATGGGAATAATGATAATATACATGTCTCATGAGGTTCTTGTCAGAATTAAAAGTAAAGATTTAGGTAGGTAGTCATAAACTGTTTCTTAGACACAGTATATACCCAAACTACTTTGTCATATTAAAGCCAATTACATTACAAAAACATAAACTATAAAAAAATCTAAAAGCCGGAAAAAAATGTCATTTGTGGAGCAACTAGACATAATTAAGACTGATATTCTCATTTCACAGACATTCAACAAGCCCAGAGAGGTAGAGGAACTTCTCTAAACTCACCTGGCCATTTAGCAGCAGGTCTCACACAGAACTCGACTGTCCTTAATTCTGGTCCAGCACACTCTAAAACCTCTAATCTAACAGGACACTGGAGAATAACTGATTTCTAACTGACCTTTCAAGGTAAGCATGAACAAAATTAAGCTCTGTTTTATTGGGGTTTTTTTTCAAATTTCAAAATTATTCCTAACCTATGAGCATGGTCCATGAATTATACACCTAATACATTTTTTGCAACCACCCTAACATAGGTGGCCAGTGGTCCTTTAGCAGAACTATCACAATCTCCAGAATGACTGAGACAATACCAGCAAACCTAAACCAAAGTCTGGAAGTCATTTTTACCAGGAGAATCTGATGCCTTCAATCTTACCTTTTTCAGCCATTATTCCTGTTTGAAGGTGGCTTGGTCAGGGCCACGCTTACCTCTTCCTTATTGTTATCCAGCGTCTCTTTGAACTTTAAATAGAGAGAGTTATCTAAAGAGTGTGGCAGCTGCCCCTCTCCTGCCTGCCAATTGTCTGCAGAGTGATGTAAGTCATTGGAAAGCAGAACTCCTCTGGCTCTTGTTTATCTAGTTATTATGGAGGGAAAAAAAGGGGGCTACGTGATCTAAACAATTAAGTAAGCTCAGTTACCCTAACGTAAAGGTATGTGGATTTTTAATACACATAATGCTTTCAGTGGACATGAAGAAAATGTTCAGTAATGGGATGTACAGAGAAAAAATGATATTGCAACTAGACAAGTTCTATCAAGGAAGGAAAGTGATATGTCAAAATGAGAGGACTTTGGTGTTAGAGAGACCTGGGCTCAAATTTCAACTCCGCTATTTCTGCAATGAAAGCCAAGTTGCTTAACCTGGATATTACCTTCTTTAATTGTAAAATGATGATAATAATTCTCACCCATGAAAGTTCCATAAAGAAAAAATGAAAAAGTTTGTAAAATATAGACTTTGTGATTCCATTACAGATGCAGAAGATAAAATAAATGAAATGGTGCCCCTTCCTTCAAACCGTTCTAAAAACAGAAAATATTATTATAAACATATTAGAAAGTAAGGCAATAAAGATCATAGTGTTGCCTAGAATTTTCAGAGAGCATTCACAAGCTTGTTGTTACTAGCAATGTATAAAAATAGGACATTTCATTTTTCGAAGTCCAACCTGGTTTATGTAACATGACCAAGACTATTGTCTAGATTCTCATTGGAATGATTTTAATTTTGGAGTCTCAGTGGAAAAGCTTTGCAGAGTGACCTTGCAACTGACATCCAAAAAAATCTAGCATAAGATTAAGCAAGTCTTCCTCTGAAGATAGGCCTTGGCTGATTAAATCTAACTCCACAGAGCACCAAAAGTGAAGTTTCCCTACAAATAATGGTGTCTCAACATTGCTAAAAGTTCATCAATGGTTCTCCATCTCCTAGAGAATAAAAATCTACACTTCTTCCTTAGATGCTTAAAAAGCCTCCTCACATTGAATTCCTTGCTGTTATATGCATTCAGAATGGTTCTACTCCCACAAGCAACAAGAACATTTGGTTTTCTACCTCAAGTAATACACCCATAAATTAGAATGTGTGGCCAACAGTCTGGCTTGTTTATGTCATTTATCCCCCGTTGTCATCTCTCTCCCTCAATATACTTCAATACACTATTTAATAGTGAAAAAATGCCTGAATGTACCATGTAAACATACGAACTATATTATTTATATAACAAAAATATCTTGCTTATCTGGTAAAGCTGGACATTATTTTCAATATTAATAATATATTAAACAAAGGTTAATTGAGGTCAAGCAGGAGACGGAGACAGAAAAAAGCAAAGTGGTCATTGATCTCAGTGAAATATGAAACGTCTTAATTAAGTAGATTCAAATTAACATGATCTATCTTAAGAAAAAAGATTTAAAGGAAACAGTGAGGTACCCACAAAGAACACAAACTCATATACATATATATGAGCAAAATAATTTGCGTAAGTATGAAAATACAGTAGAGTATATGAGAAGTTTCTACATTTTAAACTCTCATTTCCATTTCAATTATCTTAAGCTTTCTTATTTGCTATAAAATTGACTATTATTAACATTATTACTTTCAAATTGGAGTATGAGAGGGATTACTTTATAATTCATCATTTATTCATCTTACTTCTCTATAGAAAGAGAGACGAGAAGAAAAACTAATTTACTGAACATAAGTTGCCCTGACTACAGAAGAGGATTCTATCTAGAATCTCATTTCCCTGGTATCCCATCAATAATTTTTTTAAGTTATAATATTTATTCAAAAATGTTTATTCATTAATTTTACTTCAAACTCATAAACATAAGGGCCTCTATTTGATTAATTTCTAATCTTCCTCTTAGGACATACTACTTAGAAACATTTTCTATTTCTACTTTACATTCTCCTTTAAAGGTTTAACTCTCAAGTCTCTTATTTGCAAGATGACATGAGATTCTTCTAGGGTACTTGAGCCAAAAATTTACATATTTGATTCCTAATGCAAGATAAATAAAAATTCCTCACTTTTCAAATACTTTTCCACCACCAGTGTCTAGAATTACAGCCCTGAACATAGAAGATGCTCAGTGGATATTTATTTGACAGCTGCTGACTGCCTAATGGTGGGCAGAGGGGTGGAACAGTAAGGGCCATATAAGGTAGCTTAGTTTGCACTCTAAACAAAGGTTTACTATGGTAACTTAAAGAAGCAATAAATAATAGAACAATCTTAACTATATGTTTGCCTCACTTGTTTATTTGGACAACACTTTACAATGGATTTAATTACTGGTACAGTAGAATAAACTGTAGATCAGGAATTGATCAAATAAAAGATACTGACATCAGCAAAAGCAAAACTGGAGGAGTAAGAACTTCCAAAATTTTTCTCCTCAATAAAAGCACCAAGAAAACTAACTAAAATTTCTGAATTAATTTTTCAGAATTCTGGAAACTAACCAAAAACTTACAATAATTAGCCCAAATCTCAGTATGAAGAGCAAGATCTTTGTTATTTTAATTTTGCCTATTCCTATCTCCCCTGTCTCTGTCTTCTCCACAGTAGCCTTGAAAACCAGTATCCTGCAATCTCAGTGAAAAAGCAGCAGACTCGCAGCCACCAGATGGCACAGAAAGCTCCTTTCTAAGGCTTATTTTCAGAGAATTATCACTGTTGGACCTGACTGGTGGCTCTCCCAAAGATCTCACTTGTAAGCTGTCTTCATTTGACCAGACTTAGAGGTAAATCAGTGTGAAAAATACCTGCTCCCAGAGCACTTGTTAAAAATAACTAGAGCCAAATGTTTAACATCATGTCTGCCCCAATAATAGTTGGAGTGAACAAGAGGCTAACTAAAAAGCTTAAAAAGAAAAGTTAGGAAATGTCCACAGGGCCTTTGAAAAGCTTCACAAATTCAGAATTGAAAGTGTTCTTGGAGCCTCTGATGGGAGACGCAGGGAGAAAGAACTGCAGATGGGATGATTGATTTGAAGGGAGGTCGGGACTCATTCTGGTCGGTGACCCGGCCTAACTTTACTGATTATCTTATATACTTTCAAACATTCAGTAAGATTTTAACACAGATACAAACCAGTGAAGTAGCATTAGGAAGCTACCATTTAAGATTACAATTTAGTGTGAAGGCTGAGGAAAACATATACAATTGATTTTGTTTAGAGTAAAAACATAAGGGAGAGTTACTGTCTGTTCTTGCTGGCCCAAACTGAAACTAGAGATTATAATGTTAATGAAGGAAGAAGACAGAGAATAGAACCCAACAGCTCCAGGACAGGTATTCAAACTCCCAGCTGCACCCCAGCTGATTCTCCAGAATTCCTAACAAAGAGAAATTCTGCATATTTCTGCATAACTATAGGCAGGTGCAGAAGCTCGATCTTTGAAGAAATCTTTCTCAGAATCAATCTCCTGGGGGAGCACATTGAAGTGAACTGCCATGTCTGAGCATGGGGTGCTTATCTCTACACAGAATCTAGAGGGTTGTGTGCATATGTTCAGATGTGTGTGCACTCATAACTGTGTCTTAACTGATAGATAAAAATTATTTTTAAAAGATAAACAGAAATAGCAAAATTGAAAGGTATAATGAATGAAATAAAAGTTTTACTATAGAGGTTCAATGGCAGATAAGAATAGACAGAATAAAAAATCAGTGAATTTGAAGAAATTTTGATTGAAATTATTTAGTACCAGTAACAGAAAGAAGAAATAATAAAGAAAAATTAATAAAGCCTTAGAGATTTGTGGGACACCATCAAGCATTTCAATATGCGCATGATGGGAATCCCAAACAAATAAGAAGAGAAAGCAAGACTAGAACAGATATTTGAAGAAAATATAGGGGAGACCCCAGGAAGATGGCCAACAGTACCCAGCTTTCAACAGAAGCTCCCATCCAGAGGAAGAGATAACAGCCAGAAAGAACCCAATAAGCTGAAGGTCAATAGTTGAGCTGAGAGACAAGATTAATAACAGCACATTGTCCCTACTGAGGCAAGCTGCAACTCCAAGGAAGCAAATTTCAGGTACAAAACCTATCCCAAAGAGGACACAAGTCCATCCAATCCCCCAAGAGAGTGGCTTGCTGTATAATGTCTACAAGCAAGCAGTGAACTGAAGACCTCTTGTCTCACCCCCATGAGAGAGTGTCATTGAAGGCTAGGACTCCTTCTCCAGAAAGACCCTGCTGTGAGCCTGGGCATTCTCTTGACTGGCATGAAAGTTGAACAAATATTTTTCCTTCCATTCTGAACTTCCAGTCCACCCTTCCCCCTTTGCCTGGCGGTCTAGAAGCCCAACCCCAGCAGAGATCAGAGTGTCCACAGTTCTTTGCTAGGGACAGGGAATTGCATGGGCTGCAGCAGCACAGCTGTGCTGAAACAGTGAATCCAGTAGTGGTGCAGAAAGGCACAGGGGGAGGGTGTCTGGTCTGGCTCTGTGAAGGTCATATCAGCGATGGGCAGAGGCGTGGGTAGCCATGAGGCAGGAGACTTGGGAACCTGTGTGGAGGCATCTGCCATGAAGCATCAGTTATAGTAGAGTGATCCTACCAGGGTCAAACTTTGGAGAGACACCTCCCCACTTCTGTCAACTGCCAAAGAGTCAGACCTTGCCCTGCAGGAGTACCAGAGAAGCAGTATAGCTCGGACAGAGGCACAAGAAAAAAACATTCACTGCATTGTTAACCTCTGGCTTGGAGCCCCCAATTTCACCTTACCAGCGTCTCTAAACAAACTGAGAAAAATAATCATAGGACGGAACCAGCAGAAAAATGCTGGCAACATAAATATTCACAGTAGATCAAATGCCCCCAAGGAATGACAAAGAAGACACACATGAAGATGCCATTT